CAATATGCCATGCTTTGGTCTTATGCTGAAGAAATAAAAAATACCAATCCTAGGACCACTGTGGTAATTAAAAGTAAACTTGTTGATAGGAATCCACTGTTCAAAAGAATATATATATGCTGGGGTTCATTGTAAAGAGGTTGTTGAATGGTTGTTGGAAGGTGATTTTCTTAGATAGTTGTCATCTTAAAACATGTTGTGGTGGTGTTCTACTCACTGTAGTTGGTGTTGATGCAAACAACTGTATGTATCATTTTGCCTATGTTATTGTTGAAAAAGAAACTAAAAAAATTTGGCATTGGTTTGTTGACCTGTTAAAAGGGAATTTAGGGATTGAGAATTCTTTTCCGTGGACAATAATGTCAGACAAGCAAAAAAGGCTGGTAGATGTCATAAAATCTATTGCCAGATTCTGAGCATAGGTTCTGTGTCCAACACTTGTATGGAAATTTTAGGAATTAGCCCTGAAAACTTGTTGTGGAGAGCAGCCCGGTCCACATGGGGGTTGTTGACTTTAATGCTGCAATGAAATAATTAGAAGGAAGGGACAAAGAAGCTTTTGAATGGTTGGCTAAGAAACCAGCAAATCAATAGTCAAGGTCACACTATAGTTGCAACTCAAAGTGTGATATGCAGCTGAATAACATGAGTGAGTCTTTTAACTCTCTAGTTCTGAGAGCAAGGAGTAAACCTATTGTTTCTATGTTGGAAACAATAAGACTTATCCTGATGAAGAGGACCTACATGAGAAGGGATCAAATGAGAAAATATTTGCATGGGAAGTTGTGCCCAAAAATCATGAAGATGTTGGAGGAATTGAAGAAAAAGCCAATGGGTTATATTTTGCCACTGGAATGGGGAAGACCAGTTTGAAGTAGAGGGAAGATCAAGTAGATTTAGAGTTCATATGGGGGAGCATACATGCACTTGTAGGAAGTGGGGCCTCACCGCATCCCCTGTGAGCATGCAATAAGTGGCATGTTCTTGTTGTGCACTCCACCAGAGGATTATGTTGCTGACTGGTATCACAAAGAAAAAATTTTGAAGGCTTATTCTGAGATGTTGAGCACTCTTCCACCTCCTGAGTGCTGGCCAAGTATAGAAGCAATGCCCTTGAAACCACCATCTGATGGGAGACTACCTGGAAGGCCAAAAGTCAATGCCAGAAAAAAGCAGACCTATGAAGAAGTTCAGACAGGAAAATCCAAAAAACAAATTCAAGTGAAGCTGAGTAGAAAAGGGAGACTTATGAAGTGTTCTATTTGCAACAAAGACAACCACAACATTAGATGTTGTCCATTAAGAACTGACAAAAGTGCACCAAGTGAGGTAGCTGTTAAATAATTGTAAATTTTTTGTTTATATGTTTGTGTTTTATACAAATAGTATTTTCTATAATTCCTGAATTGGATAGTATATTTACCATTCTTTTCTTATGAAGGGTAAAAAGAGGAAAGCAACTTTGAGAGAAAGTGAAGTCAGAGCCCCTAATGCAGACATCTCTATGGTCAAGGTAATGTCACAAGTAGTTTTTATATGTTTGTGTTTTATGTTTTATTACAGTTAGTGTTTTTGTATATCATAAATTACATAGTCACATTGTACATTGTTTGTTGTTTTCTGTGAAGGGGAAGAAGAGGTAAACACCTGGGAGAGAAAGTGAAGTAAATCCCCGTGATGAAGATTTTGTTGTGAGTGAAGTACTAGTCCCTCATGAAGAGATTGTTGTGGCCAAGGTAATGTTTTTTAGTTTAAATGAGAAGGCATGTTGGTGTGATTTTTGTGTTGTCCAATTTGTGATAAGATGCAGCCTTAGTTGGGTTAATATACATGTTGATTGGTAGTAAAATGTGAGCATAGGAGAAGAATGTTTCATTTACTGTTTTGCCCTGTTTGTATCTCATGGTGCTGAGCCTTGTTATTGTGGAATCCATGCTGAGAATTGATGTGCTTTTGCTGAGTTTAAGGTTGAGTTTCATTGCATTAGTGTCTACTATTTCATTCAAGTGTCTGGTTTTTTTTTTTTTTTATTTACATTGTACATTGTTTGTTATGAAGGGAAAAAAGATGAAAGAAAATGTGAAAGAAAGTGAAGTTCTGCATACACAAGAATCTGCGGCAAGAATACCTTTAAAGGTCACCAGAAAACAAGGGTATTCCCATCAACTTGTTGATGAATCTGTACCTAAAAAAGCCACAAGAAGCCAAAGCCAGCCTGCATCTACAAGACTCACAAGAAGCCAAACACAGCCTGCATCTCTACCTACAATGAGAAGAAATAGTCAGTTTGCAGGGCCGAGTTCAATTGCAACATCACTTACATTGAGAAAAAAAAGAGTCAGAAAGAGTCAGTCTGCAGGGCCTTCAGTTGTAACTTCACCTACAATGAGAAAAAAGACACAGTCTGCAGGGCCAAGTTCAGTTGCAGCTTCACCTACAAGAGTGACAAGAAGCCAAATTCAATCTGCAGCTGCACCTACAAGGTTACCAAGAAGCTACTCCAAAGGTCTAACACCTACCAAGGATTTGGGGCAAACAAGGACTCAAAACAATCAAACCAAAAGAAGACATTGGGCGTGAGGAGAAAACTTGAGGTAAACTATTTTTTATTGTGTGATTTTTTTACTGTGTGTTTCAATATGATCTTACTATCCATTTAATAGGTGACCAAGAAAAGAAATCCATTGACTCGAGTTGCTAGCTTTACAACAACAAAGGGACCAGTGGTAAAGAAGCATGTGGTGCAATCTTAGCCTGAGCCAGAGATACTGGGAACATATTGGGTTACTAGCTGTGGGGACATAGTGGATAAGTAGGGGTTAGTTCTGAGAGATGTGGTTGATTTGGAAAGTAAAAACAGTTTCATGTTGGATGTTTTGTCAGACTGGATGTGGTTGATGAGTTTGTTGAACTCCGATACAATGATTATGGCTTTTGGATATTATGGTTTGTTTTGGATATTATTGTTGGTTTTGGATATTATGGTTGGTTTTGAATATTATGGTTTTTTTTGTGATTGTGTTGTGAACATTCATAATCATTCATAATGTTTGGTTTTTAATTGTGTTCAATGGATACAAGTTTTTTTGAATGAGTTGGTTTCACTGCAATTTACCTGTGTATGATTGTGATTATATCAAAGTGTCATAATATATGGCATTAGCAGTGGGAAGCTCTTCTTTTTCTGTTCAGCTATCCCTAACACACTACACCAAGCAACAATACATTTTGTACTCAGTAAGTTTTCAATTCTGCAAATAAGATAATCCTCATGGTGATACTCAATTTGGCTACTATTAATAAAAATACGACACGTGGAAATATAAATGATGGCTAAAATATGTAATAAATAAATGTACAAATAGCAGGTTTTTCGAACTGAATAAATGTCTATCGAAGTCGTCAAGGGTCATAATTGGGTCCCACGCGGTTACACCCCATTAAAATATCATTTGTATTATTTTATTTTCCATTATTCAATGACCACATGTTTGGCCATATATATACTTGGCTACGATCATTGTAAGGAGGAGAGAATCCAACATTATCCAAAGGAAATCTCGGAAGAGAGAGAAAAAAAAAACATTATTCTTCCCAAAATATCAATGAAAAAAATAAGCTTCATCTTCATTCTTTTGATTCTTGTTTAGTTGAATTCATATATTCTCTCATAATTAATATAAAGAAAAGTCACGCATAGATCGAGTATCCATTCCGAATACACTATATAATTTTATTCGTGCAGACCGAACCGAGCGTATATTTTAATACGCAGTTCGAACAACATTGTTGACATTTTTGAGCATCAACAATTGGCGCTAGAGGAATGGCACCATCGGTTGTTTGGTGAAACCCGCCAGAAAAACAGCAAACATCTCTGCCAGAATTTGTTTTCTCCACGTTTGGTATGAACCTATTTTGCTTACTCTTCGATTTTATCAGGAAAGCAAGTATATTCCCATTCTTAGTCCCCTAAAAGATGAGTAAATGATAATAAATAAATAAATAAAAAAAAGGAGATAGATGAGTTGCTTGGGAACTCCGAAAACAAGCAGAAGGGATTTACTTTTGTCGTGTGCTTTTGATATGTATGTGCATATATCATATGTCTCATGTTTTTTAGAAATGTTGAGTAAAAAAAAAAAAAAAAAAGAAAGAAAAATCTGAACGAGAGAAGATAAGAGTTGCAGAGAAGATGAGCAAGGGAGATAGGGAGATAACATACTTCCCTTGGACAAAAATTCGCAAAAAAAAAAAAAATTCCGAGTCAGTCTTTCCTATTTTCCCCACTGGCTTAAAGATAAAAAAAGAGAGGAAAAACATATTCGGGCCGTGATATGGCACATAGCAATGAGCTCGGTAAACCGGAAAGGATTTGCTCGGTTTAAGTAGCTGGAGGTAGATCCGAAGTCTAGTAGCCTTAACAGCTCGGCTTCAGTAGCTCGGCATCATCAGCTCGGCTTCTTGACAGTTCGTCGGAATCAGCTCGGCCTCTTAGTAGCTCGGTCTCTTAACAGCTCGGCGTAATATGGATATTAATGGCTCGGTCTGCCGAGCAGATTAGTGGGTCCAAATGTTCAGACGTCCGTAACATGGAATGGGGCTCGGGGCCGAGCAGATGGGGCAGTTATGAGAAGTAGTTCATAAGGGACACGTGTAAGGATCAAAGATGGAATAATAGATCCAACGGAGGAGAAGCAAAGCGTAGGGAACAAGCTAGTAACTTCATATAAATAGGTAAACCATTGGATGAAACAAGGTTACACATTCTACAAACCCTAAATTATATACACAACTTCCTTCTATCTTCAATCTCTTACTGACTTGAGCGTCGGAGGTTTACCGCCGGGAACACCTCCCGGCGTTCTTGCAGGTCTTGGAGCGGTCGAGGATTGGAGGGAGGCCGGTTCAAGTGCAGAAGCACATCAGGCCGGACGTCCATCCCCGAATCCAAGATGCGCCATCCGGGCCGAACATCCATTGCCGAACCGGAATTGCAGATTGCATCCGGGCGGAACCTCCATTACCGAACCCAAACTGCAGATTTGCATCCGGGCCGAATCTCCATTGCCGAACAGAACCGTCCACTACGGGGGCCGAACAGAAGCGCCGCAGACGGGCCACCACATCACATCGGGGCTGAAGGCCGAACCGAAAGTGACCAACCTCAATCGGGACGAGCGTATCCCCATTCGGTATGTCGGAATCTACGAATGGAGAACTGCCCAAAACCTTTCACAGGCAACCCGATCTCGACAAATAAGCAGGGTGCCGACCTCGGTGAACATCTAGGCCGAGCTCGGATCTCCAAATCACAACAACTGGGCCTCTAAATCAACCCGACCGACGAGCTCAGGCTCTAAATCTGCCGCCGCACTGTGAGTTACTCTCGAGAATACGTAGGCAGAGGCTGAATAAGTTTCTCTTTTTTCCCCTTTTTCTACTTTGCGTTCTTAATTTGATGAATTCGGGGAGTAATGGGAAACCAATGGGCCTAAGTAGTGGAGCTAAACTAGTTATAATTTGGGCCAAGTATCCGAAACCAATCTGGACCCGATAGATGAATATTTAGTCTTGTAAAATTATTTATAGAGATAGATGAACATGCAGTATTGTAAAGTTATTTATAGAGAGTAATGACTAGGGCCCTAAAAGTGTTGTAATAGATAGAAATAGGCTGGAGCAAACGACCAAAATTCTCGAAGTCAAGAAACTCGACAGGGGCCTAAAGAATAAAGTTGAAAAAGGAGCCGACCTCTCCAGTCGGTAATATTCTTAGGCCTACACTCTGCACCGACACAAGGTAATCCTACTCTCAATTCCATTATAAATACATACATACATACATACATATATGTATATATATATACATAAAAAATAAATATGTACACGTATGCATACATACAAAAAAAAAAGTAAAAGTAAGAACAAAAGAACGAAAAGACCAGAGACAACAACCGTTCATCGATGGATCCCCAAATTATAATCGGCCCGTCCACTTCGTCGTCCGAATCAATCTACCAAACCGATTGACGGATGACCAACCTCGAAGATTGTCGAGCCTGAAATTGTGACTTAATCACGGACGACCTAGCTGATCGTCGAAAAAATCGGCCGACTTCCATAGACAGGCCGACTTCATCGCTCGGCCGACCTCAACATTTGTTCGACTACTAAAGATGGGGACAATTTCTCAACAAGGCCCAGACTTGCAATTGGCGCCCGAATTCGCGGTTAGAAAAGCAGAATTCACTCACTGACGATTCCTGCTTCATTCACTCTACGCTGGTTTATCATTCACTCACCGACGGGTCAACTTCCCTGGACTGAGTTATTATTCGTTTGCAGACAAGCCCAGTCCCACCGGATCGATTCATCATTTGCTCGTCTTCAACCTCATTTATCAGTGTCGGGACTGAATTCACTTACTTGCGACGAGGCCGAGTTCATTTATCAATGTCGAGGCCGAATTTATCCACGCCAGAGTCGACGTCCATATTTCCTCACCGTAGAGCCTCGACTCCGGCTGAGCCGACGTCCATATTTCCTCGCCGTAGAGCCTCGACTCCGGCTGAGCCGACGTCCATATTTCCTCGCCGTAGAGCCTCGAATTCGGCTGAGTTGATGTCCATATTTCCTCGCCGTTGATCCTCGACTCCGGCTGAGGTGACAACTATATTTCTCGCTGTAGAGCCTCGACTCCGGCTGAGCCGACATCCATATTTCCTCGCCGTAGAGCCTCGACTCCGGCTGAGCCAACGTTTATATTTCCTCGCCGTAGAGCCTCGACTCTGGCTGAGCCGATGTCCATATTTCCTCGCCGTAGAGCCTCGACTTCGGCTGAGCCAACGTCCATTTATTCTCGCCGTATAGCTGTTGGGATCTGTGAGGATCTCGTTATGTACAAATCACGAATTCAATAGCAAACGTAAACCTATGCGCAGCGGATCTAAAGGTTTGACGTAGAGAACTTACGGCTTAAAATTTATGTAGATCTGGTTGACCACGAACGGTTGACCGCAATTGATTGACCGCAACACGCGTCTTGGGTTGCACGAACAAGATCAGATCAAAACTGGATCAAACGGATGCAAACAGATCAAAACGAAATTTTGCTGCCAGACACCTTCCGGCGGCGCGTGAGGGAGCGTGCGGCGTCGGATTCCGACGACGTCGGCGGCGATGGAAAGCTCTCGTCGAGACGGTCGTCTGGGTATACAGTACGTCTCAATCGGACTTCCGGTTAGTTCTGTAGGTCAAAATCAATTTCGTCTCGGTTTACCTACAGATCTTCTACTGTATTACTCAATACACCCTTCTTCAACTTGTATCAGTGGAGCAACAAGAAGAAGATAAAGCTCGAATGAGATCTAGAGAGAGAGATGGTTTCACGTGAGAATGAGACTTCTATTCTCTTCTCATGAGCTTAATGATGTATATATAGAGCTACAGTAGGGACCCTAAGGAGATTAGGAAAAGGGCTCCTTAATTAATTAGACTAACTGTGGGCCAAACCCACTCCTCTAATTAATTAAATAATATTAATGGGCCACCAACATTATATTATTGCACTCCCTTTCCCTAGCCCAAATTACATTTGAGACTCCAATAATAATTACTCGATTTACCTCCCCACGTTTAAGATATAATGTCCATTAATTAATTCGATTACTGACAATCAAGAATTAATTAATTTATTATTATTTCACCGAAGCTAGCGCTCGTTCATCACATTCTTATTATGCCGGAATTTAATCCACCTGCAGGGTTTAGCATAACAATCCTTCATGAACTCACTCCGGGGACATCATCAAACTAACGCACATGGTGACCGTAAATATCCTAACAGCACATCCTATATATAATAATATTACCCAAAACAGTAGGAATATTAATCCAGCGAACTGAACCTCACCCATGTGAATCAAAGTAATATATATTATATATATCTGCCTGTTTAATATCTTACGGGTTAAGAGAACGCAGTAATTAACCGAGGCCTAGTTCATTTACGACGATCAGTATAAAATGAACTTCTCCTCTCTGGGATCCTGTTCAATACATAAATGTACTAGTGCAACTAATCAGTCAAGACAAACTGTACAGTTGACACTACAACCGTTCGGATGGGGTGTTCATGTCCATCTAGGTTGTGAACAACTATTCTTGTTCGCAAGTGACTGATAGAGTGATCTTCGGTTCGCCCGATGACGACCCACCCTATCTAAGTGCAGAACAACAGAACGTAGAACTTGTTTAATCTAACATGATTCTCATTCATAAAGGGTAAATGTGTAATAACATGCAAAGCCAAGCTTTCAGTATATAACACTAACAATCTCCCACTTATACTTAAAGCTTTCGCTTTTACAGTATAGTCCTATCAATCCGTTATTCTAAAAGACCTATGTCGATCCTATTGCCATGCATCCTCTGATGCAATCTTGGCAACATCAACGTCTCCTCTACCAACGATATCCCGAATCAGATGGTATTTGCGCTCTATGTGTTTGCTTGCCCTGTGGGCTCGAGGTTCTTTTGAGTTCGCTACTGCTCCACTGTTATCACAGTACACGGTGATACCACGTGGCAAACTCGGTATAACCTCTAAGTCCACTAAGAAGTTCCTGAGCCAAACTGCCTCTTTCGCTGCCTCTGAGGCTGCTATGTACTCGGCTTCCATGGTGGAGTCTGCCACGCATTTCTGCTTAGCACTCCTCCATGAAATGGCTCCACTTCCCAAGGTAAACACATAACCTGAGGTTGACTTACTTTCATCCTTATCTGACTGGAAATCGGAATCACTGTAACCCAGAGGTAACAAGCTGCCTGCACGGTAAACTAACATGTACTCCTTAGTCCTTCTCAGGTACTTGAGTATATGCTTCACCGCAGACCAATGTTCCCGTCCTGGATTACTTTGATATCTAGCTACCATGCCAACGGCGTAGCTAATATCCGGCCTTGTGCATAGCATTGCATACATGAGACTTCCTACTGCCGAAGCATAAGGAACTGTCTTCATCTCCTCTATCTCCTTAGACGTCTTAGGAGACATCTCCTTAGATAGAGGTATTCCATGTCTGAAAGGTAACATACCTTTCTTGGAATCCTGCATGCTGAATCTGGCCAAGACAGTATCTATGTATGAAGACTGGGATAAGCACAACATTCTCTTCTTACGATCTCTAATGAGCCTAATACCAAGAATGTGTCCTGCTTCACCTAAGTCCTTCATATCAAACTGCTTAGACAACCACACCTTTACGTCTGATAACTCCTTCTTACTGTTTCCAATAAGCAGTATGTCATCTACGTAAAGCACAAGAAACACCACCACGCTCCCACTGATTTTCTTGTAAACACAATGCTCATCCGGACATTGAGTGAACCCGTACGACTGGATCACCTCATCAAAACGGATGTTCCAAGATCTCGAAGCTTGCTTCAGTCCATAAATAGACCGATTAAGCTTACACACTAGATGCTCACGACCTTCAGCAATGAATCCCTCTGGTTGCTGCATATAGATGTCTTCTTGCAGGTTCCCATTAAGGAAAGCTGTCTTGACATCCATCTGCCAGACCTCATAGTCCATATGAGCGGCTACAGCCAAGAGAATCCGAATGGACTTAAGCATAGCTACTGGCGAAAAGGTCTCATCATAATCAATACCCTCGATCTGGGTATAACCTTTCGCAACAAGCCTAGCTTTAAAGGTTTGCACCTTCCCATCCAATCCTCTCTTTCTCTTATAGATCCACTTACATCCAATGGGTCGTACCCCATCGGGTAGTTCTACAAGATCCCAGACCTGATTGGAGTCCATTGACCCCATTTCAGCTTTCATTGCAACATTCCATGAATCTGCATCTTTATCTTGGAGTGCCTCATCGTAAGTTCTTGGGTCCGATTCTAGGCCTCCTGGAACTGAGTCTGACGACTCTCCAAGACCTATCCATCGGTCGGGTAAATGAGAAACCCTCCCACTGCGACGAGGCACTGTCTGCACTGGTACACTCTCAGTGTGTCGTGTTGCAGTATTATGTGATGTATCTACTTGCGCACTCGGTGGGGAACCATCGCTTTCACCCCTTAACTCCTCTAAGACTAGTCTACTCGCGGGCTTATGATTCATAATATAGTCTTCTTCCAAGAATCTAGCGTTCGTCGAAACGATCACCTTCTGATCCCCGGGACTATAAAATAATCCACCTTTCGTTTCCTTGGGATAGCCTACGAAAACTCGTGCTTCCGAACGTTTCTCCAACTTGCCAGGTTCCTGCACTAAC